ATAAAAGTAAATCAGAAGGGAATTTATAGTAAATAAGCAGGCAAATTTGCCTGCGAACCTCTACAGTTTAAGGGATAAATAATAAATTTAACTTCAATATATTAAAATAATTCATTAATGATATATATAAATACTTAGTCCTCACCACCATTATTTATTTAATTTAATGTTGTTCTCAATAGGCAAAAAATCATAATATATATTGTTTTTATCATTTTTATTGGTCCAAATTATATATTTTTGATACAGTTAGTTGATTTTGACTTTAAATTTCTCTCACAATTTGTGTAGTTATAAATTTTTGCTTCGCTTTCACAAAGAAATGTATGTATCATAAGGTAAATTAATCAAATTTGGTTTATCGTGAAAATCAAGCGGTCGCACAAATAATTTATGCATGAGGGTCTAAAAATAATTTTCATTGCACAGCCCCATTAAATATCGATTATCTGATTGATTATGCGGAGGGACTATCAAACTTGAAATTTTCTTTTACAACTTTACTAACTTTCTCTGTTTCAATGGAAGGTTTCTCCAGTAGACCACTTTTCCGGTTCCTCACTCAGCCTAATGTCGTATCTACGATTAATTCTATAACCGCTGATAGTATATTTGACTACTATATGAGAGAAGGGCTAAACAGCGATTTTTCGCAACTATATCATATGCTAGCTAAGGATTTAGAAGAAGTTCTCAAATCCAATTTCTTTAATGAAGATATAACACGTGTTTTGAGGGATATTAATGTCAATTGGGAGGTGAGCAAACATTTTGTGTATATACACAAGTATATGTTTATAGAGGGATAGAGCCTCTTGTTTTAGAGGGCTTAAGTATCAGTGACATATGAGGATTGCGGTCGCTCATATGATCCTGATCGGTGGCAACTTGGGGATTGCGGTCACTCAAGTTTGGAAGTCCGGGATTGCGGTTGCTGGACCTAAACCACTCCACTCGCATTACCTAATCATTTTCGATCTGATTTATGCCTTGAAACTAATATTATTGTTCTTTGTTTTTCTGAGACATGGAAAAAACAACGCATTCAAGCTTACAAACATGAAAAAGAGATCAACAAACAGAAGACCCACCGCGAAATTCAGTTTGTGAGTACATATTGGCTGGTTGTTTATTTTTTCTGCTATAAAAATGGGTTCACTACAATATATGTTATTTTTAAAAGCAAATGAGCACCACAAAATACCAAAAAGGTGTTGCCACAGTTGTCGAAGCGGAGATTGACGAGTGGACCAAAGAAGCGGTAAACAAGCGACCTCGTGAAAATAAAAAGGAAGTTGCCTCTAAGAAGGTCAGCACAATATAACTTGTAGATAATAATTAGTCACATGAATTTCTCTCAAACTTTTTTTTTCTTCACAGATTAAAACCACCAAAGATCCTTTGCATCTGCTTTCTCCGCAGATGATGATAACGAATCACAAGATCCATCACTTATTGAGAGTGACCTAATAGAATTTGAAAAAATGACAGATAAGTCATGTTCGAAACCTCTTGAAATACTTTCAACGGGGTCATTTGTTGATTTGAGGCAGGGAGGTTGTTATTACTTGGATAAAACCCACTTTATCCATAAAATAGAGGATCTCAAGACTCATGCCATTCTCTCTCTACGTCCTCGCCGTTTTGGAAAAACATTATTCCTCTCCACCTTGTCCTCATATTATGATATAAAAAACAGAGATCGATTTGAACAACTTTTTGGCGATTTATACATTGGAAAAAATCCCACACCATTAGCATCGTCATTTCTTGTTCTTGAACTCAATTTTTCTGGACTCCGCACCAGTACAACATATAATATCTTTGATGAGGATTTTCACCGAAGTTTGAATATATTTATGTCGGAGTTCATGTATCGATATCAACAGGAGTTGGGACAACATTTTCAAATTTATGATGAAAATACAAATGCTTTGGCAAATTTTTCGAACTTACTGAAGGCGGTGCGGTTGAGTGAGCACAAGGTATTTAGTTCGTCATCATCGCTAGTTATTTATCATTTCTATTTGGAAAAATGGTAAATGAATATTTTTTCGTTTCTTTAGCTCTACGTTTTCATTGATGAATATGATGCGAGTATGAATGAAACTCTTAAAAACAAACCCATTTTCCAAGATCTTACTAATCACAAAAAGGAAGGTGACTCTGTTAAAAGCAAAATTGAATTAATTGAAAGTTCGTTCAAACAATTCTACAGTCGTCTGAAGACTGCTTGCGATAAAGGCATTGCCTATGTTTTTCAAACTGGCGTAACCCCTATTGTTATGGCCGAGTTCACTTCAGGATTTAATATTTCAACAGACTTGGCACTAAGAGAAGAATTTTGGAATCTGTATGGGTTCAAGAAGTCAGAAGTAGAAGTCCTCTTAGAAAATATTTCTGAAAATGGTTTTCCAAATGACATTAAAAATGGAATAATCAAATGGTTGGAAAATGAATATGGGGATATTATTTTAACCCTGATCAAAAAGAATGTATATTCAATACCGGTAGTATTTTATATAGTATTAAGATGCTAATTGGAAGAATAAAACATATAGAATATTGCAAGGATACTTCAATAATTATTAAAAAGCTTCTTCGATTTCCTCCTGATCCACACACATTGCCCTCTCAAACAACACTGGACTTAATTGTAGACAACCCCTTGGGTAAATCAATACTTACTGAAGCGATCGGACAATTTTCTCTTGAATCTAAAAATGGTATCGAACAACGATTTCGACTTGCGAACATTCGTGAACTGGCCACAGATCGTACCCCATTGTTGTCTTTCTTGTTCTATACCGGAGCTCTTACCTATCAACCAAACGGTTTATGTTTCAGTTTTCGGATTCCGAATAATATTTCAAAAAGAGAATTCATAGCAGAAGCTCTCAAAATTCATGATGCTTTCTTTTTCCAACATTTATTATTTTTCTTTCTTCTTGGTAAATTTCATAGGTAATCTTTTCTTTTCTTAGATAAACTTCCAGTGTTTGAGTATCTTTTATTTTGAATATGTAAGGAGCAATTTTTTCACCTTGTTCCTTTTTTAGAATACTTCTAATGGTGTAATTCTTTGGTTCCATGGTAGACCTAATGTAAATTAACTTCATATTAACTATTTTTATGTAGAGGTAATTCTTAAGATAACAAATGGGATATTATAAAACTGTTAATTATGATCACATTACAAATGACTAAATTTTGATCCCTGAATCTTTGATAATTACAAATGTTCACTTTGTCTGGTTTTGTTGCAGTATGTCCCATATAAGCTTTGCAATTTATTTGATATACTTTTATTAATATTAATCCTTTTAATAATAATTTATATTATGATAAATACTATTAGATACAAGTTAATTTATACTTTTTTATATAAATATAATATGACTTATCAAATTTTATAATATAATTATTATATAATATTACTATTTATAATCTTAAGATTCTGATTTCTTAATTTAATAAAAACATACTTAAATTATTTTAATATTATAATAATATTAATATTAATATATATAAAATATGATTATAAAAAATTTTATATAATATAATTAATAGACTACTATACTTAAAAATCACTCAGTGCATATAAACTTTATTTTTTTAAAAATGTTGCTCTAAGATATGAAAATTATTTTATTAATTTAAAAATTTTAAAATTAGTAGCTTTAAAATTAATTTACATAATCGTGATTTATTTTAGTGTTTGAATTTAATATCACGTGATTAGGCCACATTATTTCCTATGACGGGATGGAATCCCTTTTTACTAAGCAAAAAGTAATGGTGATTTTGACCTGTAAACTCCGCCGGACCTAAATTATATATATTTTTCCGGTATTTAAAAAAAAAAAAAAAATAACGGTTTTGTCCTTCATTTTTGAATTTAACTTTAAATAAAATTATTTTTATTTGATCTTTATTTTCTTTCTCAAAAGCATAGTTTATTAGTTTTCATTGATTCAACATGCCTAAGAATAAAGGAAAGGTAAATTGGTATTTTTTTTTTGAATGATAATTCTTTTGAATTTGAAAATTAAAAAATTTTGATCACTTCATAGGGAGGAAAAAACAGACGGAGAGGAAAGAATGAAAATGAATCTGAGAAACGAGAGTTGATCTTTAAGGAAGACGGGCAAGGTAAATTCTTTATATTATAATAAATCGTTCACGCTTAGACTCGTAATGAACAAACCGGTTTAACTAATCCTTTTTTTTTTTATAAATTCTCGTCAAATAATAGAATATGCACAAGTAGTAAAAATGTTAGGTAATGGTCGTCTAGAAGCCCAATGTTTTGATGGCGAAAAACGCTTAGCACATATCCGTGGAAAACTACGGAAGAAGGTAATAATAAAAAAAAAAAAAAGATATCAAAATTTAAAACTTGTATGATAAAGAATCATTTCTAACCTCCTTTATCTCAAAGGTGTGGATAAATCAAGGAGACATCATTTTGATCTCTCTTCGTGATTATCAAGACGCAAAAGCCGATGTTATTTTAAAATATACAACAGAAGAGGCCAGAAATTTGAAAGCATATGGCGAATTACCAGAAAATGGTATATTTATTTGTTTTAATATTTTTTCACCACTTGATGTATTTTGATTTCTCGTTCTAATAAACATTGAATGTTTCCTTTTATTAGCTAAAATTAATGAGACCGATACATTTGGTCCAGAAGATGATGAATGCAATTTCGAATTTGATATTGATGAGGTAATTTGAGCTGATAAGTTTTTTTTTGTTTTTTTTATTTGATTACTAAACCTAACAATCATTTTTTTTTTTTAAAAAAAAAAAACAGATCTAAAAGGGGATTGGTAAAAAAACCAAAAGAAAAAAGAGAAAAAAAAAAATATTATTATTATTTGTGGATGTTAAATCCTTCCTTATTAAGACTTTTTACCTTATCATTTTCCACTTTCTCTCGTATTATATTATAATAATCTCGTAATATTATTTTTCATTAAACATTAAATCGTAATCTATTTTATCACGTGAAAAAAAAAATTAAGGGTAAAAATAGAAAGGAAAATATAGGATAATTTCTACCCCTTCAAAAGTATATATATTTACAAACATTTTTTTTCTTTCTAAAGTTTATAAAGATATATAGTTATTATTTTATATAGAGCTTCATAAAGAAGATTATAAAATAACAAAATTAATAAAGACGCTTTTAGTATTATTTATTACTTTATTTTAAATTGAAAATTTCAAAACTTTGCCAAGATATTAATTTGTACTTCGAGTATTTTAATAAAACAAAAAAGAGTTGAAAAACGTTCTTTCATTAATCATTATTACAAAAAAAATGTTAATAATTTTTTGTTATACTAAAAAACCGTCTATAAAATCACTTCATTTGCGCTCTTTACGGCTACCTCGACTTCCACGACCACCACGACTTCCACCACGACTTGTACCACGACTTGCACCACGACTCCCACGACTCCCACGACCTCCACCACGCCCTCCTCCTCGTCCTGCAGAAGGTTGTTTAATGAGACGATCCTTTGTAAGGTCATCTTCATCTTCCACTACATCATCGTCATCAGGAACAACTTCCTCTATAACAAAGTCATCCAAATCGGCAGTTATAACAGGTTTATTAACTTTTGTTGTAACCACATTAGATACGTTTAAGAAAGGAAGAGGGTGTGATGTTGCGTTATACCTATACAAATATATATAAATATATATTACATTATTTTAATCATCACGTGAAAATTAATAAATTAATAATGAAGAATTAATACTTGCTTTCTTGTAAATGAGGCCTTTGTAGTGCTGGGAATATCAGAACCATTATAGCGCGTTTGCTCATCCTTAAATTCCATGATGGTGTCGAATTGCTCTTTGGTTATCATATATTGATCCATAAAATTAATGACATCGATCATACCATCTGCTTTATTGACAACCAAAGGCTTAATAAGAGCCTTCCTAAGAGTAGGAATATAGCTTTCACGAATTTCACCCCTATCGGCAGAAACTTTGGTTCGTATGTGACTCTGAATTTCTTTCAATTGACGCTGAATCTTTTGAGCTTTAGAATTTTGTCCTAACCAGCTTGGAAATTTATATTGACCAAATTGACCCCCTTTATTAAAACCATGAACATAATATGCGGGTGCAATTGTAGAAAAGTATCCATGCATTGGCATAAGATTCCATTCTTGTCTCGGTCCACGAATCCTTTTATCAACCATATCGCCATAAGACATGGAATCAGCCGCTTTTGCAAAAGCTTCCAAAGATGCAAGCTTTTCTAAAACATCTGGTTTGATATCTTCGTTATCATGTTTTTTGATGAACTTAGTAATGGTATGAGGTTTCATTTTTATATAATTCTCAAAGATCATTAAAGGAATTAGATCGTGTTCTTGAAAGTATAGTTTCATTTTATCATTGAAAGTGTTCTTACGAGATTTCCAGATGTCGTTGCTCAAAAAATCTTTGGAAATTTCAAAGAGACTCTTTCTAAGATGTTTCTCGTTAGTTTTGTTTAAAGCCTTTATCTCATCATAGTCAATAGAATCGTGGTTAATTTTCCATGAAGATAGAATGTTCAAAATTTGACGAATATCAGAGTTTGATCCTCTAATGAGTTCATCAACATCAGTTGGTCGAATTTCTAAATTTTCTCTTGTTGCAATTGTCATGATTCTTGATCTGATTTGTTCAACGCGCGGTTTGGAAAATCTCGCCTCATGACAATAGGTTTTTAACGACTTGAATTTTTGAGAGTTGATGTCATTGCATACACAAACGATCGGTATCCTTGTTTTTTTGATCAATTGGATAAGTTCAGCGATACCACCTCTATCACCAGAAGACATTCCATCAAGTTCGTCCATTAAGATAAGTGTTCTCTTTTTCTGTACATCTTTTGCTTTTGCCTTGCCTGAAGTCTTATCGTTGACTGGGTAAAAGAAACCAGTAATCGATGTATTTTTTGTCGCCACTTTGATAGCAGCCTCCAGTGTCTTTTTACTTCGAGTGTCGCTAGCGTTAAGTTCAATCACTTCGTACCCTTCAAGACCTGCAATAAGATGAACAGAGGATGTCTTACCAATTCCGGGAGGACCAGAAATCAATAATGCAGGCATCCACTCTTTGCTCTTAAACTTGAAGCTTTTCTCACTCCATCCGTTGAGCCATTTTATCATATCTTTTACGAGGTTTTGAT